TATGTTTGTCTTAATTGTTTGTGAGGAGGCCTTTTTTTTCCCTCCATTATTTACTGATGCAAAGTCACTATATTTGAAGGGGTCCTAGCTCTTTGTGCAACTACTTCGATCCCCTTTCTTATTTGGTTTTCTGAATTAAGAGAGAGTTTATCTATTATCGGTTTGATGTTGGGAGATATAACTATTGTTACAATAAACATGGGGAGAAAAAGTTCGATCCTTATGTTGCAAAATTGGGCATATTCCAAAACGAGAAGTTTTTGGATCCTTATGTTGATGCAGGCTGCACAGTGAGGTATAATTAGGACAGCCACATAAAAGCACCATTCGAAGAGAAATCATGTCCCGGACCCCAAATTTATTGAGAAAATGGCTTTGTTTTTGCTGCAATAATGAATCGGCTATTAAATAGAACATATTTACCACAATCTGCTAAATTAAGGTTCAGGTACTTGTCATGTACTGACTGCACTAGGAAACAAATAAATGTCTCAATCCCACTTGTAAGAGAATGAAATGTAAGGAATCAAAAGCTGCATGTCTAAATCCAATGCCAATGTTGGAGAAACTGGACAAAACTCTTCTTTTCAATTGAAATTTCCAAGCCTTAATTAATCCAGTTTATAATTGTTAATGTATGATTAATTTGTGATAATGGCATTTTTTAATCAAAGCGAAACGAACGCTAGAAACGATATGGCACTTTGCTTTGGAGCCTCCACATATCATTCTATCTCCAATAGCAAAAATCAATTTGGTAAACCCCACTATCAATATATTACTGATTTTTTTCTCTTTAATTATAAATATCTGAAAACCAACGTTCCAAAATCTTTTGATTCTCAAAATTGATTAAAATAAGGTGCCATTATTTTGTCTCTTCCTCTATTTCCTTATGATTGTATCATTTGTCGAAGTTGTTGCTCATAATTTATACGTACACAAACGTGGTTTTTTATAAATGGCATGGCAACATGACCACCTTATGCCCTAGTGGAATATGTAGGGCCGTTTTAGAGGTGTGACTAAATTGTATTGGCTCGTTTTGTAAGTGGATTGGATGATGTCCTTCATATGTCATGATACAAAATTTATTAAGTGATCAATTGGGCCTTTTAGAAATCTTTAAAGGTCTCATTGTACAAAAGTTGATGTTCTTTTCAGTTTTGAACTATTAAGCAAGTCTTTCTTACTGTAATACTTCTCCAATTTTCTTCTAAATCATATTATAACAGGTTATATCTTAATAGTGTTGGTATAGCATCATGGATAAAGATTGGGTACACCTATCAAGGCTATCTTATCCCCTTAAGTTTAGAAATTTTTTAAATATGTTCATATACACTTTTAGATCATTTGCTTAGTGTTTTATTATAGAGTTTCAAAGGCATATCAACACGGTGCAAGAAAGTTTGCAAATATGGTGCAAACCAATGCAGGGAATCCAGAGAAGGTCATATGCCCTTGCAAATGTTGCAAAAACCTATTTTACCAACATTTTGATACAATGTATGGGCATTTGATCATTCATGGGATGGATCCTACTTATACTACATGGGTGTTTCATGGCGAAAAATTGAATGCATCATTGCCTCCTCAAGATGTAGAAAATTTTGAGACATATAGGATGTATAGAGATGCATTTCTTTAAGATGACAATAACTTAGAACCTGAGAATAAAGGTCGAAAGAAAGAATTTTCTAATTTATATAAGGGAGTTGAAATTCCTTTATATCCCGGTTGTACAAAGTACACAAGAATATCTGCAATCGTTGTCTTATACAAGCTTAAAACTACCTCAAGATGTAGAAAATTTTGAGACATATAGGATGTATAGAGATGCATTTCTTTAAGATGACAATAACTTAGAACCTGAGAATAAAGGTCGAAAGAAAGAATTTTCTAATTTATATAAGGGAGTTGAAATTCCTTTATATCCCGGTTGTACAAAGTACACAAGAATATCTGCAATCGTTGTCTTATACAAGCTTAAAACTACGCATGGTATATCTGAGAATGGTTTCAATGAACTTCTTGAAATAATTCAAGACATGCTACCACATGGGAACACTCTTCCCGATTCCTGTAATTCAACGAAAAGGTTATTGAAAACCTTTGATTTAGGATATGAGAAGATACATGCATGCGTAAATGATTGTTGTTTGTTTAGAAAGGATCTCGAGGATTTGGAGACATGTCCAAAATGTGCATCTTCACGTTGGAAGTTAATGAGCGGACTAAGAAGATTCAAAAGGGGATACCTGCAAAAGTTTTATGATATTTTCCAATTATACCATGATTTAGAAGAATGTTTAGGTCACCTGATAAGGCAGAACAACTAATATGGCACTTAACTCACAAAAGTCAAGATGGAAAAATGCGTCATCCAGTTGATTCA